CTGTGGGCAGTGTTTGTGGCTGCAAATACCAGTGAAATGCAATTGTGGCAAGAACATGGTGAGCCTGCACAATGAACCATGTCTAAAGTCATCTTTGATGGTTTTCCTCGAGTTTTGGACCCCTTCTGCTCCCAATCAAGCCAAAATGGGGTCCCAATTGTGCTGATGATGTTCCTGTCCGAGGCGCGCGCGCGCGCGCCCCTCGGACAGGAACATCATCAGCACAATTGGGACCCCACTTTTGGCGATTTTCAGTGAAACTAGAGAGATCAGGGTCTTCAAAACCTAAAAAACATCCCAGGTAACAAGAGCTGGGTGGGCAAGGGGGGTGGCGGCCAGGCCGGCCCGTGCCGCAGGCCCTAAATTGCTTTTCTTTTTGTAACCCTAATATAAATAACAGTCATTATTTTCACTTTCCTTCGGACATAACAACACAATTAACGCAAACACGGCCGTGGAGGGGTCGTCATTTTCTGCCCGTGCATCAAGACGCACCATTTTTTGCACATCGACATTTGTTCGAGGTTCAAAAGCAGCTTTGTTTGATGGTTGTTATTGTTGATGAGCAACGTCCATGATCCATTTTGTGCGTTTGGCTGCGGTTGTAGCGCGATTTCGGATGATTTTTTGCTGCTGAAACGGTGTCTGAAAAAGGAGAAAACGCTTCGCATTTTTTACGGCCAGGTTTGTTTGGATGTGCGTTCGTTCGGGAAAATGTGCGTTTCCTATGTTGTTTGTCCATTTTGAGTTGGTCACTTTGGCTTTTACTCCACGGCCACGCGTGCGAAGCATGCCGACAAAAAATGAAGGTATCGACTACATTTATTCACTTTAAGCATGATGGCATAAGCATGCCACTGCGCAACATCGCGTTGATCTGTTGAGAACCATTTTCTAGCAAAGCATTCCTCAATGCATAATCCTTGAAGCCTTCAACGCCATATACTTCCCATATACGCTGCTCAAAGGGCAATTTTCAAACCCGTTATGGGCAGCGACAAAATCATCCAAATTGTGCTAAAGACTACAACGAAACGCCCAAAGTTCATCGTGCACGCTCGTCTACAAAAATTCTAAAAATCAAAAATGCGCCGCTTCCTCAAAAACATGTCTAGCACAGCATCCATCCCCAAAGCCGCATGCATCTGCGGGGCTCTTACAGAAAGCTTGCCATTTCTGTGGATGCAACCAAACAACGTACGTTCTTATCCCCCACACCCCCACCCCAAAACACCAAACGTCCAAACGTGGCGACCCTTCCACGGCCGCATTTGCGAATCCTACCACAAACAACATCAGAATTCTCACGTGGTTTGGGTTAGACGGTTAGACGACGGATTGCCTATGCTGAGGCATGCTGGGGCATTATGGTCTGGCTTCTGATTCTTTTTGCGAATGCGCAAAGAAATGTCAACAGCTTTGCCCTTATGCTCATCCGCCTTCATGGATCGGCGCGTCACCTGCGCCTTTGGCGAAATGATTCCGAATGCCTCACAGAGGCAGCTTGTGGCATGGCTGTTGGGCAATTGGAGGAGCTCAACCTGCTGCCTACATGGCCAAACACGATGCGCAATGCTCCAAGCTCTACACCATGACGGACGATTCCTCCTCTTCCTCCTCACACCCAGCAGACACCTTCGGCCTGAGTTCAGCCCATGGCTCAGGATTGGGGTCTTCAACAGCCCAAGCTGGGGCTTTGGCGTTGCCAGGCCAAGACGCATCACCTCAGGTAGGCTACTCTGCAGCAGGAACTCACAGCTACAAGTCTTTGGAGCATGACCGTCTGCTTCGCTCGCTTTCTTGCCTCCGCCATGTCCCACTCTGCCAAAGAATTTGCAAGCAGCACCAGGACCTTGATTTCACCCTCCGGGCAGAGGTGGCAGTGTCCACACTCTTTTCCTGAGGGCATGCTGAAGGATATCTTCTTCTTGCAGCCTGCAGCTGGACTAAGCCCCACACCATTCTTGCATCCGCCGGGCTTATGGAACCTTGGCAAGGAACCCTTAGCAGATTAACTGTCAGAAACGACTTAGCACTTGGAAGCTGACCATGCACATGGCCGGCAGGTGCCTTGATCATGAAGCACTGAGCCATGGCTCGGCCTCGGAACAAACGAACACTGGCAGTTGCTTGCGGTTTCTTGCGTTCGATGGGAAGATCAGATCCGGACGTGTTTGGGGGTGGTTGCAAGCCTGGTGGAAACAACACACCTTAGGTTTCAGCGCCTGATCATATCAGCACATTCCAGAGCAGATTCCTTAAGTAAGATCACCACACTGTCCATCACCTTACATTCAGGAAGCCTAGCTGCAAAGGCAATCGCTTTTTCTTGAATCAATCTTCCTCCAAGCTGCGGCTTTGTCCAAAAGGAACTTCATCGTCGCTTGCTTTGGGGCCTCAACAATCGGAAGCAAGGATGACTGTGTTGCAGACAATTGCTTGGCCAGCTGTCAGCAAGGCTGAATGGCATCATGTAGGCCGGATCCTGAGCGTTGGATCATGGGTGTTCAAAATCCATGTGAGACACATGAAATTGCTGAGGCGACTGCCTCATCATTTTCCTCTGCCAATGCCTCAAAGCCTTGGTGTGTGAGAGCCCCTGAGATAACTCAATCGAGCACTGCTCATTGCTCCCATGCGCGAACTGTCTCAAACGTTTAGGTCGTGGCGAAGCATTTTGGGTAGCAACAACAGTGGTGTTGTCAGGTCTGACGTCAGTTTGCATCGACAAAGCGTTGACGTTTAACTCCACATGGCCATCACTGCCCACACTGCAGAGGATGTGGAATCCTGCCTTCATCATCATCTTCAGCTGGCTGACTAGCCACAGGGGATTTCTCAGGATCAGCCTGCACCTTTCATCATGCGGCATTTGCCGGAATTGAGCTATGACTTAGATAACGTCTCAGGCCAGTTTAGCTTGCAGGGACTGAATACATTACATGAGAAGCACATGGCCGCCGGAAAGGTTTACGTTGCCTTGGCTGGCAACGAATGCGGAGACGCAGCATCCTCAGAATGCTGCAAATCACTTGCAGAATTGCACTGTAGGTTCTGGCCTTTCTGGCTCTGGCTATCAGCTTAGCACACAGTTGAGCTCATGGCCAGTGTTGCAAGAGGAATGGTTGCCGGCCTGCTGCATGAATTGCTGACGTAACGCTGATTGGAAGGAGCCCGTAAGCGCTGTAAAACCAGCACGGAACACTTGGAGCTGAACGTGCTTTGTGGGGACAGTGGTCCGTATGATGGGCTCATTGGATCCGGCAGTCCAGCAAAGTCCTTTTCAAGCAGAACAGACAAACAGCGGCTCTCAGCGGCTTGCCTGGCAAAAAAATGTGAGCCTCCAAAATGTCGGAGTGCTGGTCCAAGCCTCATGTCTCGCGGGGGTGCAAATAATTGAGTCCGAGAATCCCGGGCTACCCCAAGTTGGATGTCAGAGTCTCGGGCACACAGAGGGCAGCTGCACCTTATGAGAAATCAATCGAAGAACAGCTCGGCTGCAGGGCTCACTAGCTTTGCGCCTTCTGGGGCTCCATAGACATGGGAGATCGAAGGGCAGAGTCCTTGAAGGTATCAAGGAAAGCGAGCAAACCGCCAGCTCAAGGATTTGTGAGGTAGGAACCAATTTGAGGCTCAGCTTCTGCGGTGAAGAGGACTGATAACCAGCAGCCTTAGATGCAACAGCTTGGCCGAACCTTACAGATCAGAAGTCCTCAGGAAGCCACGGTCTGGCTGGGCTGAGGCATGCCGAGCGCCTCAGTACAAAGGTCTAAGACAAACAGGTCCGGCCGACCTTTCGGGAGTTTGGGTAAGCCACATCTGCCAGTGACAAGGAAACAGGTGGCATGTTGAATTGCGACCTGGCAAGATCCAATTGGTTCCCACAGGTGCACTCACCCACACACCCAAAAAAAAACTGAAATTCCTAGCTGTGTGCCTTGCAACGGGCAGAGAGGCGCGCAGGTGGGCTTCTCTTCTCCAGCAGCACTGAGCAAACTGCAGCAGAGAACACAAAAAGTCTCGGACGAACTTAGCAGGTCAAACGTCCAAGGTTGGCAAAATGCGAACCACCCGGAAGCAGCCGCTAATTCTTTTCTATGAACCGCCGCAGCATGTGCATGCAGCTCTGTACACAGGGAAGTGCATCTGGCAACAAGCGATGCATCCAGCTTCGCTGTTGATGGCGTTCTCAGGTAGCTCAATTGCCGGGGACCGCAAAGAATTGCGCAAGGCTGCAAACACAGTGAATGCCCTCGATCAAATCGATCAAACAGTCGATTTTTTGCCGCCCACCTTGGCAATATCTCTTTCGCTTTGGGATCTGCCATGAAATATGGCCAGCACCTCCGTCAAAGCGGTGGAGGTTGCGACTGGACGGCTTATGGCGAGCATGCATTGGAGGGCTGACCTGCAGTCTGGCCCGTACATTGGCATACATAGGATGCCGTGCAACACAGCAACAGCAAAGACGCAGAAGAGAAGCGCAACAGTTGCGAGAATGACACTTCTGTGGAGATTGGAGTTCAGCGGGCCATACTGTCAAATCCATTGCAAGATCCAAGAGATTGTGGTCACGCGGATTTCGCATGCTCGGATGCAAAACAACGAAGCAGTTGTGACAATCACTGTCATCAACACCACACGTAAGCACAGCGCTTGACGAGCACAACACTGACAGGCATCAGGCCAACAACACAAGGTGTATCTATAACACTGTAGCTCCCACACGCAAGCAAAACTCTGTATCTATGGCACTGCCCAAGCGACTGCTGTCTCTGTTTCTGCGATTGTTGCATCTGCAAAGGGAAGCGCAAGACCTCGATGTTTGACCTTTTCGGCCATCTTGACTTCCATTCTGCAGAACTGGACGCTTCTGCAATCTGCGGCACTGCCAACAAGCCATGGTAAGTGGCCATCTTTCCAATCATCAAGCAAGGCCACAAACTGCAACGGTTCCAGAAAGTAAGATAAGCATACAGACACCCATTACCCGCGTTGTGATTGCTGGCATTTCTAGCCGACAGCTACGGGTTGGGCCAAGACAAAACGATTTTTCTCACACATCCGCCGCTATGATCTTCTAGTTATCAGCAGGCTGCTCATTCTCGCACACGCAGCAGGCCTTCAAAAACCGCTTTAGCACATGCCGTGCGTTCACAATACAATCTCAGACCTCATAACTCTTGCAAGGGCATGCAGTAATGCATGCAACTGCTCTGCTTTGTGTAAACTTGTACGTGCATGTGCAAGTATGTGCTTCGAGGCACTTTCCGGCACCTATCATGCTCGTGCCCTTGCTAGAACTACGACTCAGTCCTGGACTCTAACTCCGTTTAGAGTTGAACTAGGCGTAAGTCACGATGGCATGCAAAACCTTATGTTTCATCTTATCCACAGCAAAATTCACCCACGTAGCCCAACCCTGGACCTAGCTTGCACACCTCCCTAGCCAGAGCTTGCACAAGTGCGCTGCGAATCAGAGGCTACCTGCAACATCAACGCCGAGGCTCCCAAGCCTTGCAACGCCGAGCAAGTTGGGCAAACGAAAACTTCATCGCGACATGCCAGTTCAGAAAAGCCCCAGTCAAGTCCCTGCAAACCTACTCTCCCCTACAGTAAGGAGCAGGCTTGGCTTGTCCTCCGCTCTGGGACGGTCAGGCCTGAATTCAACTGCGCTGGTTAATTGTATATGAAATGGCTCTGATCCAGCTCATGGCTCTCAAGTTCGGTTTCGTCACTTAGGGCGTGAGCGCATCACAATCTGCTTGGCTTTCTTGCGTGCCTGCTGTGTACCAGTCTCACAGAAGCCTAACTAGACCAAGGTAAAGGAACAAGAGCTCAATGGTTAGTGTTTTGGGGGGGAATACTCGCAGAGAAAACTCTTTCGGTTGCAGTATAACATGCGTAGTCTAGCCTGCCACACAGGAACAAGAGATGCATAGTGCCACCAGCAAGAAAGACCTTTGTAGACATGATCCCATTTACCTAAATGTTGCCTGATAGCATATGGCATCAAAGCTTCAAAGGGGGAAGCCTCTTTCGAAATCCCAACATGCTGCTTTGGGTATGATGCCAGCCCTACGGATACAGATTCGAAGGATGGGATCAAAGGCACTGCGGCAACCCTGGTTTGATTGTCGAGCTTTATTCAGTCCACCAGAGTGGTCCTGCAAAGATTTGCCCGCGCACGGTCCGCGCGTGCTGGCTGCTTTAAGGTCCGTCTTGTAGATTACACACTAGTTCCGGGATTGGGATCCCATTAATGTTCCTACATTCTCCCATACTGCCCCCACTAGACCCCTACAATAGCACCCTGGTAAACCACAAAATCCATGTTAATGTTCCGGAGCGTAGCTGCGAGGAGTTAGGAGTCGCAACCAGCAATGGCGACAGCAGCTTGGCGGAGTCCCTTCTCATGAAGGCTGGCGCTTGTTTGGAGTTCCCATTTTGTTCTCACGTGCAGACCCAAAGTCTGTGCACAGAATCTCAAGTTATTTGCGTGGTATTTGCATTCCTCTTAATGTGGAGTAGTGAAACTTGACGAAGATTACTTCTATCTATGAATTAAACAATTGATTGCCTTGTAAGACCTTTGTATAAATGCTGAGAAGCGAGATATTTCATTCATTTATCACGCTACTCCACGGTTTGGAGCTGAGCGGTGCACAGCCTATATACAGCTGCTACTGCAGGGGAAAATTTTGGGTGCCCCTGTGTCTCTGGGACCATGGCAGAAAACTCACCAGTGCTCAGGATTCGATTTGGAGTGTCCGCTTCCCTGGCTCTTAGAGAGCTATTCGGTGAGATATTCGATGAAGCATTCGTTTCGATTGTTATTGGTTGACCCCACAAGGAGCCTGTCTATGAGTCGCCCAATCTGCAAGATGTCTCATTTGATCGGAACTGTTAATATCAAAGCCAGTGTGGGGATTTGATATCGGGAAAGCTTCTTTGCAGGTCTCGATCAGCCAACTTGCTCTTGGTTTGCCTACCCTCCGTGTGTGCTCAATGACTCTCTGGTTTGTCCATTCTCGATCCACATGTGTAGGTGGTACCTGTAGGACTCGTCTAAGCATTTTCATTTGGAATGCGTCTATGCGGTCTTGTTCTGCACGAGTTGGCTGTATTGTTTCTAACCCGTACAGCAACTTGCCAAAGATGACTGAATTCAGCACCCTAAGCTTCCATCTTTTAGTGGTTCTAGCTTTGGACCAAAAAACTTTGAGACGATTAGCTATGCTATTTGCTTCTCCGACTTTCTTCAGAATTTCTCTGCGATTATCAAAAGCCTCTGTAAGGGTTGCTCCAAGATGAACTGTTTGCATTTTACGAAGGTACATACGAACAGTCAAAAAAAACACAGATGACTGACGCTGATTGATGGTTAGGTTAACACTCTTATCCAGATTTAACTGTAGATTGTACTGTTGTGATTCTACTTGTATCTCATGCAGGAGCTCATTAATCGTCTGAGCGTGCGTCCCAAAAATTGGCGTGTCATCAGCATACATCACTTCAGCGAATTGTAGCCCTGGAATAGGTTCTTTCTGTTTAGGCATGTTTAGTTCAACCTTGATGTCTTGGAAGACAGCAGATAGCAGAATGCAAAACAGGTATGGGCTGAGTGGGCATCCTTGTCGGATTCCAGCTTTTTGAGCCTTGTATTCTGATTTGCTTCGCCCATGACAACCCTAAACTGTGTATTCTCGTACATGTTCCTGATTGTCTGTAGTAGGTTTGGTGGCGTGTGTAAGCGCTGCAAAACTTCAACTAGTCGTTGCTGGTCGACTTTGTCGAATGCTTTTTGCCAATCTAAGCATACAAGTGTAATGTTATTGCCCTGTCTTTCTGTCATGTCCACTAGTCTTCTAGCAATGAATATGGCTTGCGCGGTTGATTTCTTAGGGCGAAATCCAAACTGAGTGTTGGAAATCCATAGATCGATCACATCAGCAAGACGTAGCTTAATGAGCGCTGCAAGAATTTTGTAAAAGACCTGTAGAAGTGCTCTCGGCCGATAATTTTCAAGCTTAGATGGGTAACCCTTTTTGTAAATTGATGCTACGTTTGCATAGTCCAGCGAACGAAAATATTTCCCATCAATCAAAATATCATTATAATGCGCAAGCAGTTTTGTTCGGTTGTCACTGTTAAGCCATTTAATAAGCTTTGCGGCAATTTTATCTGGGCCTGGAGCCTTATTCCGCTTCAGATTCTTTATGACCTCGTTAAGTTCGTCTATTTCCCACGCCGTATCTTTCAAATTCTCTCCTATGTGAGACAATGGTTGTGTGCGAGGAACATAGTTTCCTTCTGGCGGTTTCCATTGGACTTCAGCGAGATATTCTGGGATATAGTTGCCTAGGCTGTCCTTGAATTTGCAATGTTTGGGCACAAATTTCTTTCGGAGAGACTTTATGCCTTGCCACCTGTAACCTTGCTCATCCATAGTTTCTAACTGTTCTATCATGAACTACTTTTTGTCTTGACGAAGATTTTTGCGTAGTAGTTTCTCAATCTCGTCCGCCTCGTGCATCAACCCTTGACTAATTTTGTCCTGTTCGTCACATAGGAGCTGCCATGTTTCTTCGGAAATGTATGATTGTGTTTGTTTCGCAGGCACTGGCGTGAACGCTTTAGCTGCAGCATCTTGTAAAATGCGTGCTCACATTTCGAATGGATCCTCAGCTGTAATATCTTGCTAGTGTTCATACGCTGTGGACACTAAAAGGTCATAATTTTCCAGCTGCTCATGACTGGATGAGCGATATGTTGGCGTTCTTTCCGATGCATGCTTTTGTTTGTAAGCCAATTTAGTAGTAAGACTTGCTACTAAAAGTTTGTGATCGGGTGACGCAAAGTTGTTTCTACATTGGTGATTGAATTTTCCAAGGCCGGTTCATGAGAACAAAATCGAGTTGCGCATAGCGGTCTGTTGTGTACGGGGCTGAGAAATTTGGCCTCGTCACGTTTCTATATGTCACAAGTCTGGCATTTTCTTTCTGGAACATGGTTTTCATAACCACAAATTTTCTGTCTTGACAGAATTTTCCCTGTTCCCCTGCTGGTTTTCGGAGAATTGTTCAAGTTTGCTATGTTCTTCCCTGAAAATGTGCGTCCCAAGTATGTCAACCTCATGTGGAAGCCGGTCCATAAGTCTGGCATTGAAGTCACCTCGGATATTGTCAATTCCGTAGCTCGAGATGCCGTCTACAGCATCACTGAGTTCCTTGTAAAACTTTCGTTTCTCATCTTTGCTCTTACAGGCGTGCGGCGCGTATGCAGCAATGACATTCATACGGAGAGGGGAAGTATCGAAGCTGCTCATCATAATTCGTCCGTTGATCTGTCGCGTCGCATTTGTACGCACTTAAGTGTTTGGAATAGACAATTGAGACACCTTGTTCTTCTGCATCTAATTATACAACATTATTTCTGTGGGCGTTTGATTTGCTGATTCTCTCCTTCTTCCTGATTTCTCTGGGGCGGATTTCTGCTCAAATGAAACACTGGTTGAACAATTAAAAGTGTATCCTCCATGATATTCACCCACGTCGGAGTTCACTCGGGTTTCTTGGAGGGCTAAAA